GGCTGCATCCCCCCCAACCCCCACCCCGTGTCGAGCCGGGGAACCTGTGCCCTTGCTTCTGCGGCTGCTTCCCACCTGCTCCCCAGTGCTGGCCAGGTGCCCGCCTCTCAGCGAAAAGTGGACTGGGCCGAGGATCAGGTTCACGGGTTTAATCCAGAAATAGCGTCACAAGGACCTAACGGGATGCCTGACGGATGACAGCAGCACCCAGCGCCGTTCCTGGTGACAGCAGCACCCAGCGCCGTTCCTGATGACAGCAGCACCCAGCGCTGTTCCTGGTGCCTCCGGGGGGCGGGGGGGGCGTGCCTCCAGAGGCTCTCTGTGAGCCTGGGCTCGCAGTGCACCCGCCGAGACATGGGGGTGCTTTAGGGGTGTTGCTGCGTTAGAACTATAACAACGACAGAATATTGTCCTTTAAAAACAGAAAACCTGCCGCCCGACCTGGCTCAGGGGTTGAGCATCAACCTATGAACCAGGAGGTCACGGTTCGATTCCCGGTCAGGGCACAGGCCCGGGTTGCGGGCTCGATCACCAGTAGGGGGCGTGCAGCAGGCAGCTGATCTAGGATGTTCCTCTCTCATCATTGATGTCTCTCTCTCCCTCTCCCTTCCTCTCTGACATCAATAGAAATATTATTTTGAATAAAGAAAAACAAAATCAGAAAGCCCTCGCCCTTGGTCCGTGCCGAGAACAGGGACTTGGCCGCACGTGGGTCCCAGGTGGAAGGTCAGTGCGCCCCTCGGAGAAGTGCAGAGGCCCCTCCGAGCTGGACGTGCTAATAGGTGGTGGACGTGTGAGCAGGACGTGGGACCTTCCAGTTGGGCAGCTCGCCCCAACGCCAGGAAGCCGGGGAGACCGGGCCATGTGGGGCCGAGCGCCCGTGATTGCATCTGTCGGCGTTTTTCCTCGGGAACACGGCCCGGCCGACCCGTGTCGCCACGTCTGAGGCCACGCTCAGGCCCTGTAGAGCCCTCGCCCCGAGCTGAAGCACGAGGCTTGCAGCAGATACCAAGCACGAGGGCACCCGGAGCCGCGTCGCCTCGCAGGTCTGCGCAGTGGTTCCAGGAAGCACGCCCTGCGTTTAGAGTTTCCGGCTACGCGATGGTGTCCAACCCGGCACCGAATCAGGCAGAGGTCCCAAGCCCATGGGCAGACCGTGCGGTCGGAAGCCTGCCTGGGCAGTGCCTGTGCAGGCAGACAGTGTGGGGCAGTGGCCGCCGCCTGCGAGGAGGTCAGGCGAGGAACCACGTCAGAGCCGCCAACTCCCCATCGGGTCCCAGGTGGAGGCGCGCTGCGGGCCTCAGGCCAAAGGTCAGGCGGGGAGGAGCCGTCCCCTGGCTCAGACTGTCCGTCCGTCCGTCTGAGACTGGCTGCCTGGAGAGGGGTGCGTTTCTCGGCGAGGAAAGGGTGTGATAGCAAGCGCTGTCCTCTGCTGAAGGCTGTTTTGATCTCTTGCTCAATAACAAACCGCCCCCCAAACCCAGCGGCTCAGGACAATGGCTGATTCTTCCTCCTGCCGCTGTGGGTGGCGGGCAGTCGCTCAGCTGGTCCTGGGCTCCCTCGAGCTGCCTCCAGCTGGCCAGTCAGCTGGCCGGACAGTCCCGATGGCCTGTCAGCAGCGCTGGGAGCTGGCAGTGTCACCTGTCAGCTGGGCAGCCCGGCTCTCCGCGTGGCCTCGCGTCCTCCGGTAGACCAGACAGTTGGCGGTCTCCCGGGCAGCGCCCCAGGAGCGAGAGGCAGGTGCTGAAGGTCTTTGGGGCCCACCTGGGCCCAGAACCCTCCCAGCCTCGCTTCCCGGGGGCTATCCATCAGCAGGCACAGGGCCCCCCCGACCCCTGGGGGGAGACGGGACCGCAGCTGAGGTGACGGCAGGGCGCTGTCCTGCTGCAGACATTCACGGCCGCTCTGAGATGTGTGCTGGTGACAGCTGTGCCCGGGGCACCCGACCATCTCCCTTACCACGGAACGAGCTGCACGTGGGCCTCGTGGGCCTGGGACCAGGATCCGACGCCAGGCCTCTTGCCAGCCGAGTGGAATTTGTCCTACAAAGTCGACAGGACACAGAGACGTGCTCAGTTGTTCTCGGTCCCTCGGTCCCTCTCGCCGCTGCCTCTGGTTCGTGTGGGGAGCAGGCAGACGAGAGAGACAGAGGCGGCCGGCAGGGCGTTCCTCAGACACGTCCCTGCGTCCTGGGGCTTCTCGGGCGGACGGTGTGGAGGCGAGAAGGCCCTGACTCCGTAGGTTCTGGCTTCCTGGGCTGCTTGGCAGGCGTCCAGTGATTCCTTAAAAAAAAGAACAAAACACATTTGGGGAAGCCTTGCCCTGTCCAGGTTTTCCTTGATTTTGCGGTGTTGGCGGGAAGCCAGGCCTGTCCCAGCCAGGAGGCTCCTCTGTGCCCCTCCAGCGAGGACAGGCCGCGGGCGTCGGGGAGGGTGGCCGCAGAACCCCTTCCCTCCCCGGGCCCCCAGGTGACAGGTGCCCGGTCGCCGGGTCCCACTGGGCCTCAGTCCAGGGCCCTCACTCGCAGGGAGGGCGCCTCCTGAGGCGCGGGGCAGGCGCTGTGTTTGAAATGTTCACTTTCTTAGCGACGGGCTCTCGGATCCTGCAAGCGTCCGACCCCTTCCCCATGAGCGCGTCCGGTTCTGTGCGTGTGACCTTCCGGTGGCTGTGGTCTCCCGGCTCCAGGCGTCTGGTCTGTCCGGCACCCAGCGGCTGTCCTTGGAGCTCAGAGGGTTTGAAAACAAAGACGCTTTTATACAAGTTTTCTGTGGGGTGAGAAGCTAGGAAGCAACATTTATCAAGTAAATAAAATGTGCAACTGTGCTGTGAGCCACGGGTGTGTGAATGCGGCCTCACTTCCCTGCCTTTGCTGTGCGCTCCTGGGCTCAACAACGACCAAACTCCCAAGGGCCTCCGTCTCTCCGAGTCATGAGCATCGTCTGGTTTTACCCATCTTAACGTTTCTTGCCCGACTCAGTGAACAGACAGGGCGACGGCGTCCTCCCCGGAGCCTGGCTTTCCCGGGGAATCTAACCTCCCGGGCGGGTGCTCAGCCGGCAGCTGCTGACTCGGAGGCAAAGCTGGGAGGAGGGTTTCATTCGCCGTGTCTGTCCCGCCTTCCGTGGCAGCCGGCACGTGGCTGTGGCGCTGTCCGTTTCCAATGAAGCATGTTTGCAAAGGGAACGCAACACACACCCCACACCCCAGTGAGCCGGGAGTGTCTGCGGGAAACACCAATGCCCAGCAGGACACACTCTTAATCAAAAGCAGCTTTTTAAGGAACGATGACTTCTTAATGGCATATTTGAAAAGTGGGTCAGCGAGCGAACAGTTCACGAAGTGGATAATGCTGCCTGAGTCCTGGCGTGCTTTATGGTCTAACTTCGGCCAACATGCATGAAATGGATGCTCATTGTACACGCTGAATCGTAACAAAAGTACCCGCGTAGCCAGTGCCCGGCCACCCTCCAGGGCCAGGGGGAGGGCACAGGCCCCCGGGCAAACCTCCCTCCTGTCTAAGGTTATTCATATTATTCATCGGATCACAGTGAGGTTGGACGTTGCAGTCTCTCCCGGTTCCTGGCTTCATTTTCTTCACTTACCTGCCCACATGGCCCCTGTTTGCTTGGATCTTAGAAAAACATTCTCCCTTTTCTGTCTCACTGAGAAAATCATAGCGATGTGTGATGTATCCACAAAACTTACTTTTATGTGTCATTGGGTTAATATTCAACTAAAAGACCACCAAGGAAACTTTTAATACACAACAAACACATTTTTTTAAGAAGGTGGATGAGCAGTAACGTCAGTGAATCGCAGAGAGCGTTGTAGTGTCAGTCTTTTTGCTGAGCGCACGCTAGAGAGAGGAGGAGGGAGTTCATTAGGGACCCGGGGGGGGGGGTGATGCGGGGGAACTGATGCTGTTCCGACGCCCTGGTTGGAAGGGGACGAGGCGAGGCTGTTTAGGAGCCAAAATAGGTCAGCTCGATGAGACAGAAAACATACTTTGAAAGTGCTTCCTGCGTTCTTTCCCCTAACTCTCCCCTTAAAACCTTTCACGCTTTCACGAAAACCCCTTTATTTTAGTGATGAAAAGCCACGGAGGGTTTTTGGTCCAGGGATATGTGTGATTTTTTTTTTGTCTAAATGTTCCTAAGATTTTTAGGAGCCAAAATAGGTCAGCTCGATGAGACAGAAAACATACTTTGAAAGTGCTTCCTGCGTTCTTTCCCCTAACTCTCCCCTTAAAACCTGAAGCTCTTTCACGAAAACCCCTTTATTTTAGTGATGAAAAGCCACGGAGGGTTTTTGGTCCAGGGATATGTGTGATTGCAGGATTTTTTTTTTTTAAGTTCAATACTAATTTAAGTAGCAACAGTGGTCTGGTTAATTTCCCAGATGGTCTTCTTCTTCTTAGGATTTATATTTTGTTTTCAATGTTGTTTGTCCTACTATAAAATTAGTTTTGATTATGCAATTACTTTGTTGTTTTGCTATGGTAGATAATGTTGGTTCTGTTATGATTTTTTTGGGGTTTAATTGTTTCTTAGAAATCATCTAACCAACTCTCATTTTATAAATGAGGAAATTGAGGCATAGAGAAATCAGGTGATTTGTCCTAAGTTGAATTGAAAATATTACTAAAAGAATACTTTAGTGATAGCACTTGAAATTCCCTTTTAATGGTAAACCCCAAGAGTTGGATGTTTTTGCATGTCGCCAGGTTACATTTGTCTCCTGACATGGAAAGATTGGAGGAAAAACGTTGAGCTCTTTGAGACACGGGGCTTCCCCTCTTTTATTTTAAATATAAATATAAGGTTATATGCCCGATCGCTGGCAAAGGCTTCAAATTCTTACCGTTTCTTTGTAGCCCTACACTTGCGCCAAATTAAAATAAATGGCTAAAAGGGCAATCACTCGTTTTTAAAATTAAGGCGTTAATTTAGGTTCCCCGTGAGCTGCTGAAAGCCACTGAGAGCCCTCGCTTCCCTCCGCAGGCGGGGGAGCCATGGACTCGGGTGACACGCTGGTCCTGGGCACTGTCCTCGCCAGCCTGTGCGCCTTCCAGCTCCTCTTCCACTTCGTCAGCTACTGGTTTTCCACGAGGGTGTCTCCGGGCTTCAACAGCCTCAGCTCCGAGAAGAAGATCGAATGGAACTCAAGGTAACGCTTACGAAACGTCATGGGCTTTTTCCCGAAAGCTAGTTTTGTGAAATAAAATTATTTAAAATAGTTCTAAAAAGCCTTTCACTTAGCCCCAGCCTGTGTGGGTCTCAGTTGGTTGAGCATCGTCCGTGCACCCACAAGGTCGCCGGTTCGATTCCCAGTCGGGGCACACGCCCCGGTTGCAGGTTTGATCCCTGGTTGGGGTGCGTGGGGGAGGCAGCCCACAGGCATTTCTCTCTCTCCCATTGATGTCTCTCTCTCTTTCCCCCCTCTCCCCCTCTCTCTTCCTGTCCCTCTAAAAACTAATGAAACAATAGTCTTTCGTTTCGGATCTAAGAAAATCTAAGCTCAAAATTGTGACTGTAGGACGAAGAGAGAAGACAAGTTGCCAGCTCTCATACAAGGAACATTGAACCATTTCTGACGCTGAAAGATGGTAGGAAAACGCATCAGCTTCCCGGGTTCGTGTGGGGGAGCCGTGCCAGCTGGCGGTGGAGAGGACGGTCTTGCATTCCTCTCTGAAACATTTACGATAACCAGCCCAAGTCCTGGCAGCGAGACTCAGCAGCAGCAAACACGAGCCGGCCGACGGAGCCTATATATAGTCCTGGCCGCTCCGCCCGCGGCAGCTGACCGCCGGCCCAGGGAACAGGGTGTCTCTCTCGGTGAACTTTCGTTGCAACCCAGAGCCCTCCAGCATCTACCCTGTTGTTATATAATTCTAAAGTAAAAGCTGCTTTTAGGTTTTTTTTTTTTTTAACAAAAATAAGTGGAAAGTGAACAGATATGTAAGGATATAGAAAGCTGTGTCAGTTTTATTAGTTGCGAGGTTTTGTGTGTGTCACGGAACACTTTCTGTTGTTGTTGTTTAGTTGAAGTTAACGCGAACTGTAAAACAGCCAGCAGGTCTCTGAAACGGCCGTAATTATCGGCACAAATACACGGAGAAGGTTGGTCTGGCTCATACGTGCTGCGGCTCTTCCCCCCAAGTGAGAACTCTTCCCCCCCAAGTGAGAACTCTTCCCCAGGGGCTTTTGGAAAAATGATTGTGACTTGTCTTAAGGACAGCGAGGATGTTGTTCGATGGCGGGAACCAGGAGATAGTAGCCGTTTCGTTTCCAAGCTCTACTGACAGGAAGATGGAACGGGGAGAGCGCGGCTGTGTTTCTGTCTTCATTCCCTTTCTCCACGGTTAGAGGAGCCACAGGCCAGGAACCGTGGAGAGCTGCTAGCCCAAGAGCTGGGGAAGGGACAGGCCAGGAGAGCAGAGATGGATGAACATGTGATGCAACTGACAGCGCTTCTCGTTAGTCAGGGTTACCCTGGCCCTTCTGGGCACGGACCCCCCTCGGTTTCCTGCGGGGGGGGGGAGGGGAAGAGAAGTCAGGATAATGACACAGCTCAGCCTGCTGTTCAGGTGCGCGTGCTCCCTGCTCCCGCGCTCCCTGCTCACGCTCTCGGTCAGTCCTGTCCCCACCTGAGCTGGGTTTACACGGGCTTAACGCTGAGAGGCGGAGAGTGCAGAGGGGGAGAAAAAACGGCTGTGTTTTGAGTAAAGTGCACACACGCACGTCCTGACATCCAGCGTCCCGTCCGCACGCAGACAGGTGACCACGCCCTGCCCCTCCCTGCTGATCGGGATAGTCTCCGAGGAACCGGGTCTGGGCCGTCCACCGAGGGGCAGGCGGGAAAAACGCCAGGCCATGCTCTCCGGAGAGAGCACGTTTAATTAGTGCGAGGGGCATGGCTGTACTCTGTTGTGGCTTTTTCTGAAAACATGCTGCGAGCTGCCATTTCTATCCTCGTCCATCCGCTCGGCTCCTGTGGGATAGACAGGCCTCTTGTGTTTCGTGCTCCTGATGGTAAACCGGCTTCTGCAGAGCTGAGCCCTTTTGTCTGAGCCGTACGGTCTCTTCTAACACCCATAGGGCTCGTGGGTGATCCCGTCAGTAACTCACGTTGCTGTTCTAACACGGTCACTGTCTCCTTGAAAGTAGAGTGCTGTCTCCTCAATGCCATTTCTTCCCTCTTTCGGAAAAAATGGAAATGTCTTATCGGGTGGCATTTTGGTTTTCTTTGTAGACACGGAGGAGGCTCCGTCTTGCTTTGCCTCTAAAGAGTTAACTGTGAAGTTTGACCCACAGCAGCGTCCGAGCACACGGACTGTGGATCCACACGCAGCGGCCCCGGCTGTCCGCGGGCCCCGCCCTGCGCGGCGGGAGCACTGGTCCTGGTGACGTTGAACTTTCTTGGGTCGAGTCTGCCAGTTCCTCCCCCGCACAGGCTGCTCAGCGGAGCCGGGCCCGAGGCCTGGCCTCGGGGACAAAGTGTTACAATTTGTCTGAAAGACACTTTCTTGATGTTTTTTTTTTTCCTTTTCACAGAATTTTCACATGGCGACAGAAAGCTGGCCACGCGATTATTTTTTATTTTGGTTTTGGCTGCACGGTGCTTGTTTAGATGGAGGGCTTCTCGGACGTTAGCATCTTAACCCTTTCATCCTGCTGTGTCCACGTGGAATACAGGGGTGCACGGCGCCAGTCCCCAGACGGGCTGGGCTGGTGGTTCTCACTTCAAAATGCCCCTTTGGCATTTCTCACACAGGCTTCCTGGTCGCTGTCTTACGTGGGTGTGACTCTTGGAGCACTGGACGTGCGATTGGGTTTCACGTGGCGTATCTGTTCAGGACCACGTTCTCTGCTAGGTCGGGTACACTGGTTTCTCAGGTTACAATCATCTTTTCTAACATCGAGGTGTCTGTCGGTCGGTCTGTCTCACTCACCTTTACAGATGTGGGGCCGGGTAGAGAGAAAGCCATTGCCGGCCGTTAACTTCTAAAGAGAAGACTGTGCGGTTCCTTCCGTCCTTTAATCTGAGGAAGAATAAAACAATCGTTATTTCTTGTTCGCACGCCCTGGAGCGTGGCTGTGGATTGAGTTGCTCCATTCTTAGCGAGACACGCTCCTGGACACTGAGTTTTCCATCCGGACCTGATTCCTTCCATCGAAGGAGACCTGGAGCTGTGAGCTCTCACGTGGGAGTTTGTTTCCTTCAAAAACAGGTTTTCTGTGTAAGTTCTCAGGGCCGGTTTTCTGTCCAGAAGCGCTTTCGTATCGGTGACAGGTTCCCACAGACACGGCCCAGGAATCTGATGTGCCCCTGGGGCCGTGCGAATTCTGTTTCAGGATCCGCGTTGTTGCCAGTGGACTTGGAGTCATTCCAACTATTGGGGCAGGAAGGAGTCCGGAACCGGGACACGCAGGGCGGGTGGCCCCCTCGGCACTGGGGGCACCACCCCTCGGCACTGGGGCACCCCCCCTCGGCACTGGGGGCACCCCCCCTCGGCACTGGGGGCACCCCCCCTCGGCACTGGGGCACCCCGGCTCCGCTCCTGCGTCAGAGCCTCCCCCAGCAGGTGACTCGCGAACGTCCAGGAGGAAACTGTGAATCAGGCCAAGCTGGTCCCGACGCCTCTTCGCCAGCGTCCACGTGCTGCCAGCGTCGCGCTGATGCTGCCGTGGGACGGCTCCTCACGTGGTCCTTTCCTTCCGTTTCAGGGTGGTCTCCACCTGCCACTCCGTGGTGGTCGGGGCTCTGAGCCTGGCCGTGTCCTTGTTCGACGAGGCCGCCATGGCAGACCCACTCTGGTAAGCACTCCTCCCGCCGGTGCCCTGGTTTGGGGTTGACGGTCAGTGGGCGTCGCTGACGCTGTGACATGGAAAGCGCCTCGCTGGCTGGGCTCGGTCTGGCTTCAGCAAGAGGGGAGTTGGCCTGTGCGTCGCCGGGCTCTCCCCACGGAGGGCGGAGAGCGTGCTGAGCGGTGCGGTCTGCGCTGAGCAGCCGCGAGTCGTCTCTGAGGCAGGACAGTCCTCAGAGTTCCGTCTGACCCCTCACCCGGCACCAAAGCTGCGCCAGGAGGACCGGCCGTCCCTGCGGGGAGGCGGTTCCACAGCGAGGCTCTGCCGCCGATGGTGACGTGCCGTCAGCGGCTCCCCTGGGGTGCACGTCCCTCCCGCGCTCCCTGGCGTCCGAGCAGGAGCTGAGCTCCGCGCAGGGTGAGGGCGGAGGCGTGTTCTGAGCGAGCACTGCACGGGCTGCGGCAACCGGGGCAGCTCCTTCGACTTCTCTCTCGCTGGGTTTTTGTTTTTCATTTTGTTAATCCTCAGCCGAGGGTCTGTCCCCATTGATTTTGAGAGAGTGGAAGGAAGGGCGGGGGGGGGGGGAAACATCGATGAGAGAGACACATGGATTGGTTGCCTCCTGCACCTGCCGCGACCAGGGCCCGGGACTGAGCCTGCAACCAGGTCCGAGCCCAGGACCCTGTGGTGTGCGGGTCACCCAGCACTCTAACCACTGAGCACACCAGCCAGGGCTCGGCTTTTAAAAAAATTCATCGATACCAAATGACACCCATCAGAGTCACCCCACCACCCACACTTTCCCTGGGAAGGTGTTCTCGGACGCAAATCCGTTTAGTGAATCAGTTCGCTGACCAGGTTCCCGTGGAATCTGCTGCAACAACGTCCAGTGCTTTTTCTTTTCGTATTTTTTATTTTATAAACACGCTTGTCCACAGCACCAGGCCTTTGGGAAGTGAATCTCATAACAAAGAATCGATTCATGACCAGCTTCCCTGGGTCCTGTGTGCGGCCGGACGTCGGCGCTGCCCAGTCTTTCCCACGCTGGCTTCGGTTCCTCACTTCGCTGTGTGCATGTTGCCATGCACGTTACAAACCAGAGGGCGGAGGGCTGGCCACTGGTGCTTGCTGATGGGAGTGAGGAGCATTAATGGGGCGCGTAGGGTCTCGCTAGGAGGAGGGCCCGTCCTGTTCCCACCAGGAGCTGACGGGCCGCCGTCAGGGAGGGTGCTGACGGGGCCGCCTCCGGTCGGTGGGCGAGACCATTTCCTGAGGTTGTTCGTGTCTCTGATTCACAATAAGGACCCAGACATCATCGTAATCAGGGTCCGAATCCCATTCGAACCCTTTCTCAAACAACTCGCACGAGGACACACGTATGAAAAGCTGTCTTTTGGTAAAACTATTTCCCTGAAGCGGAGCTGATCGGAGGAGAAATCGTGACTGCTCGTGCAGGCAGGGGCGTTACCATGCTAACACGGTGCTTTGTGCAGAGGAAGTTACCGGTCGAGACTGTGGGGGCACCTTGACCATGTTTCTGTCCCAGTAGGAAGAAGCCGTGTCGTCTAGCCCGTGCGCTAAAAAGGAACTTTCTTCCAAAACTGTCTTAGGGGCGACTCGCTGCTGGCAAAAGTGAACGTGGCTATTGCTTCCGGCTACCTCGTCTCTGGTACGTGCCGTGTTTCTCACGTCCTATAGGAGTTCCTCGTGGGGCTGTGCCTGGCGTCCGTGGTCTGTGCTTCGGGTTGATGGCTGATCTGAGAAGCAGCTTTAGGACCCACACAGCGGAGAGCGTTTTCCTGTGGCCCCGGCCCCGAGGGGGAGCAGAGCTGCGGGAGGGCCCCCCCACCACAGGCCTGGGCGCGCCGGGTTAGCGAGGGTCCCTCTGTGGCCTGCAGAGCTCCCGGGTGGGGTTAGAGAATTCCTGCAGTTTTGTCCTCCGAGTCCCCTGCACGGGGCCCCAAGTGGGCGCCCTCGGCCGTGGCGTGGGGTGAGGGGAACAGCCTCACCTACGAGTGCAGCCACCAGGGAGGATCCTGGCCCCTTCCCTTCTGTATCTTCCTGGTCCCACTTCCTGTGCCGGGCGGGGCGGGAGTGGCCCCGGGACCCTGAGGCCAGAGGGAGCTGGCTCGTGCCCTGGCCGTCGAAGCCCCTGACTGGACGAGAACCCGGGACCCTTCAGTCCACAGGCCGAGGCTCTGTCCACTGAGCCACACCGGCCAGGGCTCACTCACGCTTTAACAGTGTGCACACTCGGGGTCCTCATGCTGGGCAGCCCCAGGTGTGGGGCGCAGCTGTGTGGGAGCCGCGGAGGCGGGAGCAGGGCATGTGGGCTCCGAGCGCGGGAGAGTGACCTGTGCACGCACTGGGCAGCGCTGTCCTGTGTGACCTCCGCCTTCTCTCCTCCTCGCAGACCTGCTGATCATCGTTCTGCACTGGGACGTGATCGGCGACAAGTACTTCCTGATTCACCACTGTGCCTCGCTGTACGCTTTCTTCTTAGTGCTGGTGAGTGCAGGCCGCCTGGCCACTGGCGGGCGGGAGGGGCTCCGGGGGACCCCCAGGCAAACCCCCGACCCTCAGGCCCTGCAGACCAACTCCGGCCGCATCGGGGTCCTTCCGCGATGTGCCAGCTCGTCCGTGGACAAAGCCACGCCTTCACGCGGGGTCTGCGGGGCACTTGCGTGGATTCACACACTCCGAGGAGGGCAGATGGCCCCAGTTTCTTGAATTTTCACTGAAAACCTTCGGGACTGTGCAGCGCTTGGTGTTTGCCCATCTTCCTAGATGCATTTGGTTAATCTGCCCCTCACCGCAGAGCTCTCAAAGGGACGTGGCTGCACCACGTTGGCCAGAGTGAGCCGTGACTTTTTTATGTTATTATATTCTTACTGATGTCAGAGAGGATGGGAGAGGGAGAGAGAGAAACATCAGTGCTCAGAGAGAATCATGGATCGGCTGCCGCCTGCACGCCCCACACTGGGGATGGAGCCCACAACCCGGGCCTGTGCCCTGACCGGGAATCGAGCCGTGACCTCCTGGTTCATAGGTCAAGGCTCAACCCCTGAGGCGCGCCGGCCGGGCCACTTCTGTCTTTTACAATATTTCGGCCCCTGGTGACCGCTAAGGCCCATCAGGAGGAGAATCCGTTAGCAGACCCGGCGCGGAGGTGGGTGTGACGTCCACAGCAGGCTCGCCAGTGCGTCTCCTGCGGGAGACTCTGCGAGAACGTCACGCCTGACCGCGTCTCGTGTTCCTCACCCAGAAAGACGGCACGCTGCAGTACATCGCCAACTTCCGCCTGCTCGCCGAGCTCTCCAGCCCCTGCGTGAACCAGCGGTAGGTGCCTGACCACACGGTTGTTGTGAGGTTGTGCGTGGATTTGCAGCCGGGGGGTTCGTTTCCCGGGCCCCAAAGCTCCAGGTGAAACGAGCCTGTGGACGGGCGTGATTATCGCCGTGCACCGCCTGCTCTCACAGGGAAGTCCCGTGGGCACCAGGCTGCCCACGCCCAGGGCGGCCTCCATTGGGGACAGAGCCCGAGCCTCCCAGCCCGTCACAGCCTTCGCCGCCTGGTCCCTATGGGAACGCGTCTCCCGCCTGCTGTCGGTCCTCCCTCTCTTCCCTGTCGTCCTCGGAACACACACTAATGCGTGAGCGCCTGCTCAGCCCCCGCGGCTCCCGTGCTCAGGCACAGCCCGTGGGCGCCTCGGGCACAGAGCCGGGCGGGCAGAGCCGTCCTCTCTTTCTGCCGCTTCCTCCCTCCCAGGCCTCTTCTCACCCAGCTCGTCCTGGGCCAGGAGGCCTCCTGGCTCCTTGCTCAGGACGCAGCCCTGGATGTT